ACCCCGCCCCCCCAAGTTATTTTTTTTCAAAGAAGGTGCCAAGGACCCCGACACTCAACTCTCATTTGGACTCTGTCACCATCCCTAGATCTGAGATTTGAGAAAAAAAAAAAAAAAATAGTACCCACTCTACATCCCCTCAAAATAAGCAGAGTGGGTTTGCCATGTGTTACTATCATCGTGAGCATTTAATTTTTAACATCAACTTTACAGTATGTACAATTGTATTTGGATAACACACTTCCGTGTGGATTGTAGAAATCAAGCATGTATGTTACATACATGTTCACAGGAGCATCTGTATTCACAGGAGGAGTGCACTTGACCGTCTCCACTCTGCACCAAGTGGCAAGCTGACCTCATCTGACATAACTGGAAAGGAACACAGTGTGATGGAAAGGAATCCAATGGAAAAGGGCGAACACGTATTTGGAGAACTTTCCAAGCACACACCCCATACAACCTCCCGTCAGCACTTCCAACCCTGTTTACAAAAAGAAGACGAGGTATCCAGAAACCCTAATAGCATCTCAGATACAAATAAGCACTACTTTTGATAGGCAACTTGCCTTGTATCTAGAACCTGGAACTCATATTCAGTTCCAACCAGTGGATTTCACGTCCACCTACTCAGTTTGTTTTAATTTTTGTTCTTGAAATCCAATTTTATCTACTATAAGCTGAAAAACCAAAACCACTGCCCATGAGATGATTCCAACTCATAGAGACCCTATAGGACACAGCAGAGCAGAACTGCCCCCTAAGGTTTCCAAGGCTGTAAATCTTGATGAAAGCAGACTGCCACATCATTCTCCTGTGAAGCAACTCGTGGGTTTGAACTGCTGATCTTTTGGTTAGCAGGTGGGTGCTTTAACCACTGCACCACCAGAGCTCTGTAGCCATGGTTAATACAAACAGGTTCCATTTCAGAAACAACCCACGTCCCCCTTTGAAGGCATCATGCGGGACAGGTTTGCAGGAAGAAACAGAACAGGAGGGTGGGCCTTGTGAAGGAAAGCATCCCGCACTTCCTAGACAGGACCAGGTTTCTCAAATTAGTATTTATTTAGGTCTTAAACTTCAAGGTATTCCAGTGCAAGGTATTTATCTAGATGACAACTGATTAGGAAAGCTGCACTTTTTAGGTTTAAAGGAGATTAAGTTTTTAATCACCATTTAATTAACACCAACTTTTGTTGTTCTTGTTGTTTCTCCTTTTTCATTAGCAATTCTATCTGCAAAGAATTCAGAGCATTTGTCATTTCCTGAGAAGGATGTGGAATACTAAACACATGACAGTGGTAGGCCTATCCAACAGAGCAAGCACTGGGACTGCATGGCTGCTGTGGACCCTCTAATTAGGGGCCTTGGCTAGCGTCCTATTTCAATGAAACAATTTCATCTGTAAACAAGGTGTAATTTTTGTTTTTCTCCCCAGAAAATACGAGTGAATTGATCTGACTGATTTTGCTGCAGTGGGTGAATTTTAATGCTTTCATCAGAAAAGCTAAGAATGAAGCCGTTAGAGGTACCCTTTGACCGAGGGAAGAGGAAACCAAGTAGACACCCAGGCAGGCTGGGGGCCACAGTGGCAGCTGCATGAGGAAAGATTAGTGGGGAACAAGGAGACTATAATCCTGATGCTGCCCACCTCTCTTGGCAGGAAAACAAATGCGTTAGGGTCTTGCTTTCTTCGAGCACAGGAACCAGAAGAGGCCTGAGAACCGACAGGGGCAGTGATGATGAAAACTACTTTCCAGGAGACCAAACGGTTCCTGGAGCTCCTGGGGGTTGCAAACAGTCAACATGTCGAGCTGCTAATTGAAAGGTTTGCGTTCACCCAGAGGCACCTGAGAAGAAAAGTCCTGGGGATGTACTTTCAGAAGCTCAGCCACTGAAAACCCTGTGGGGCCCAGTTCTACTCACGGGGTCACCATGAGCCGGAGATGACATGTCAGCAACGGGCTGAAGGAGTCTCAGAGCAGAGCTCATGGCCTAGAAGACTCCCCCCTTGAACAGAACATCCACCCACGGACAGAAGCCTGGCCATCTGCAATCAGAAATACCCGTTGCAGAATAAGCTGTGGGTCGACCCATTGGGATGACCCACTGAGAGTTCAACAAAATCACTATGCTCGCCAACGCTGATCTGACCCAGGCAGAGCCTGGGTACCAATTTGGGTTCCGAGATCTTGGGCATCCACAACCTAAGGTCTCAAAGCTGGCTGTGTCATAGGAAAGGTCTTCAATGGGACCACGACTGGGATTCGGTATCTGACTCTCATACCTAGCACCATGTGGGTGCTACTTCCTGTCAGACACGATGCTCTCCACATTCTTTTTCCAAAGGACTGAGCTGACTGGGGTCACCTCAGGACAGCCCCATGTGCTTTCTGTCCACGTGGAAACTGACCGTCCCATCCAAGGGTTGATCTGATTGTGTCTGGGGCTATAACATAACAATACAGGGTCAGTGAATTTAGGGAGGGGGAATCATGTGTGTACTATATATCATGTGTGTACCAGTTTCCAATGACTTCTTTGGGTTTTAAAAGAGGCACGCACTTTCTCATCACATTACTGTTGGTTCTTCTAAAAGTAGGCTTAGAGTTTCTATACCCAGGGAAGTACAGAATTAACAGCAGGAATGATGCTGTTATTAGAAGGCTTTTTGGTCTGTAGACTCAAGTCCAAGGATAATGTGCACTCCCCCTGGAGGGGGCAACTAGCAGCCCCCTGGGTCCTGAGGACACCAGAGGAAGGCAAGAGACCTTCCTGGATTGAGGACATGCCACTGCTCTGCTTTTTGGGGAACTTGGTAATTCATTTCATGCTAAGACACATCAGTCTTGTGAAAGAACAGAGGTGATCCTGGCTGGGAGAAAGTTCTGGAATGCAATGGGAGGGCAGAGACAGAAAGTTCTAAAGGTCTTCTGTACACCTGTCACCGGCACCCAGGCAGCCTCTTTGGACTTCGTCCTCTGAGGTGACTGGAAGACTTTCTAACCCACTGCCTCCCTCTCTCTCTCTCTCCCACTCCCTCTCTCTCTCTTACTGCCTCTGAACTTTACTGCAACTGCTATTCATCTAACCAGAAATACTGCAGATTAGGTGTACTTTTAAGGAGCCCTGGTGGAGTTAGAGGTTAAGCACTTGGCTGCCAACCAAAAAGTCGGTGGTTTGAACCCACCAGCTGCTCCACAGGAAAAGGATGTGGGAGTCTGCCTCCATGAAGATGGCCACCTTGGAAACCCTATGGGGCAGTTCCACCCTGTCACAAGGGTTCGCTATGAGTCAGACCTGATGGCATCTAACAGCAGCACAATATTTAAAAATGCATTTATTGAGGTTGGAACTGTAGGAAATGTTTACTTAATGTTGTTCATGGGTTTTATAATGTTTCAACATTTGAACTAGAAAATCTAGGTCCGCTGAAGTGTGATCCTGTAACCAACCTGTTGCTGTTGATTCGATTCTGACTCATGGCGAGCCCACGTGTGTCAGAGCAGAACTGCCCCCCGTAACATACAAAATACCCTCTTTTCACACTCTGCATGTGCCCAGCATGAAGAGGTGCCCTCTGCCCACAGCCTTTCTTTTCTAATGAGCATTGTTCTATAGCATGTGTGCATGGGTGTGAGCAGAACAAAAACAGGTCACTCAGAAATGAAGACTGTCTCGGGAACTCTTCACATATCTCTGTGGGTGCCACTGGTACGGTCGCCTCCAGGACCACAAATGTTTCCAAGGAGAGAAACCACTTGCCCCACTGAAGCTGATCGGCAACTGGAAGGATGCTCAGGGGAAAGGCATGAGTGTTGCCTATGTTTTGGAGGCTTCTGATTGGAGGAGGTTGGGGCGGAAATTGGAGTGTCCAACCGAATTCCATGACATTAAGGAAGACCATCCTAAAGCCGTGCTAGCCTTTGGCAGACAGATGGCATCGTGTTTCTTACACATATGGCTCCTGGTGCATGACACCACACTGACAGCTCGGGGACAGCGACGCACAGTTAATTAGACACCACCATGGCTGTTCGGGGACTGGGGGAGTGATGGTTACTCTGGGAGGGAAGGGGCAACAGATACTATACAACCCTGAGTCATCACCAGTAGGGGAGACGCAAGCTTACTTACACAGGAGTCTTCGGGGCAATCTACAACAGCCACTGTCAGGGACAGCAGATCCACACACAGACATCGAGGACAAGAATGTGCTAGCTTGTGCAGCTGTGGAAAAGACCATTGAAGCTGAGGGTGAGATCCGAGTCTGTGAAACACACACACTGACATCCAAAGAGATTCCTTTGGCTCTCCCCCTGAGGGTCCCTCTGGCCTCGTCCTCCAGACAGGTCTTGGGGATAGACTCTAACAAGAGCAGCATGGGTACCGCTAACACACTGATGGGCTAGTCCTTGGGGGGAGCCTGGAGGCGCCTGGGGTTGGGGTGTGATGGAAGGCATAAGGAGAAAGCAGGAACTGTCTCGAGCCAGGCTTCCTGATCTCTTGCACGTGTCAATCTCACTACAGTGCAGACGCATTCTTAACTGCTTTGTTTTTGTCTGTGTCAAGTTTGCATGCATACCATACTGCTTATTCTGTAGTAGAGAAACTGCGAGGCGTTTCTGATGAGGAAATTACATGGTGGAATGACCGTAATGGAATATGGAGCATAGGGAATCATACCATCACCACTGGCGGCCAATGTAGTAGCCCCGCCAACACACCAGTGGCTTTGTCCAGGAGACTTGGCCCCACCCCCTTTTTTTTGTTCTACGGTTGCCTAGCTTGTGTCCACCACGCTCAGCACACACCTCACGAGATTCCTGGACTGGAAGACTATGGCATGGAGCCATGTGCAAAAAAGCCAACAACAACAACAAAATACCTCCCTATATCCTCTTCATCTTTGCAGGGCGCTATTGGACATCCAACTTTTGCCCTCCAGAACGTTGGTGACTGTGTATGTTTCCCTATAGATAAAACATCAATGGAAGATTTTAAACATCGGATTCGATACTAGGCATTTTCTTATACACGCGTCTATTGCTGCAGGAATTTAAAACCCTGGGGGTAGAGTACATGTTACTCTTATTTGCAGCGTAAGGCATAACATGCCCTGGGATATACACATCGCTGGGGGCCCGACTGTCCCTGGAGCAGTATGAGGCCGTGGACCTCAAGGACGACCGAAGGTAGCTGTCATTCATTGCCTGGGAGGGCAGCGAGTGTCTGTAAGGGTCCGAGGGGCATCTGCCAATGACTAAGCGTTGGTTGTCCCCGTGGGAGTGGAGGAAAGGATTGTCGGAAGAGTGGTCTGGCAAGAGAGACTTGCTCCTCTTACTGTCCTCCAGACCCCGGGGGAAAAGAGAGCTCTTATTCCCCGTGAGTTTGCTGGACGGGACACTGAACAGGCTCCCGTACAAATTTCCCTCCAGGAACTGTTCCCGGTCCTTGAGGCTTGTGCTCCGGGAGGGCCTGCTGAGGTCTAGCTCCCTGGGCTTGTCCAGGATGTTATCGTAGGAATGCTGACGGCTAATCCTCAGCTTGTTCTTTTGGAACTGGAGGGCGTTGTTCTGTGCCCAGTCCCGCTGGTAGACCTCCTCCTGGGTGACGGGGTTACCTGTGTCCTGGAGCATCTGGTCTTCATCGATGTCGTACAGGTTCCCCATCCTCAGGCAGGCGTCACACTTGAATGGGGACCTCGTGGTGAAGTGGCCCGAGTAGGTGGGCAGGTTGGAGAGGCAGCTCCTGCAGTGCGTGGAGGTCTGCCGGTACCGGTCACTCCCCTCGCTGCAAGGGGAGCTCTTGTCTTTCAAGGTAAAGTGCTTGGAGTAGAGTTTGTACTGGTCATTGTTGGGGGGCCCATCCTCATTGTGGAGGGGGTTCCTGTTCATCGGTAGCGTGGAGTCCCCCTTGCGGAAGTTCTCCTTGTGGTCCTGGTAGGCCTCTGGAAAGTCCACGTTCTCGGAAAGGGCCACGTTTTCAATGAACTGGGGAGGGTCCAAGTGGAAACTGGGCTCCTTCTCCCCGTCAATCGTGTAGATCTTGTCCCTGGGGGAGCTCGCTTTGGTTTTCATGTAGGTACGGTCTACCTCGCCACAGTCCTTGGGGTATTTGGAGGCCATTGACCTTTTGAAGTTGTCCTTGGTCTTGTGGTTTTTATTGTTGTCGGGTTCCCTGTGGCACGTGGCCCGACTCGAAGTTTCTGAAATGTCTGAGTGAGCCACCTCTTCCGGAAGGTACCGGGGACTCTTCAGGGAGTGTGTCCTGTTCTCCACAGCCCCCTCCTCCCTCTGGGAGACTGGGTTTTGGCTCAGCGAATCCTGCCGTAGAGACTCCATGGATTTCTTCCAAAGCTGCCGGGGTCTTGAGTTCCCCTTGGACTCTGTGCTCACGGCCACCTCCACCGTGTTGGGGTTGGACTCGTTGAGGGTTAGAGGGTGTTGGCCCTGGAACACATAGTTATTGAGGTTATCCTTGTGCCTGCTGGCCACAAATGTCTGGAGTTCATTCATGTTGTCCCCAAAAATGCTGTCTTTCCCCTGGAAGGACCTGTTGTCCGAGTATATCAAGTTCCCCTTATCTGAAACCATATCCATGATGAGGGACCCTCTTTGGATGAAGTCGGCAGCTCTCTTGGGTGAATCCATTCTTGAGGAGTTCATGTTGGACATGTTGGAAATGTTTTTGGCTGACCGGAGGAGTTTTAACATATTGCTCTGGGAGCCGGTCAGATTGAAGTCTGGTGACTTCTTCTTTTCTTCAATGTGGACCCCGTGAATGCAGCTGTAAATGCCCTGTGGGGGAGTCAACACAAAACACAGTCAGCAGCAGCAGCAGCAAGCATGAAACCACTACACACCTGAACTTGACCTGCAAAGGTGAGACGTTAACTTCTTTCAAGAGCCCTGGGGGAACAGTGCAACCCAATCTGAATCCTGATAATGTTTCTTGCATCTGCGAGACAAGTTGCAAAGCATCAGGCTTATCTCTCTGGCTGACCCTTGCAAAGAATCACACACTGTGTGTGAGAAACGACAGCCACCAATGCTCACACAACTGTAAGGTTCTGGAGCCCCTGAACTGTCAGGTAAGGCCGTGCAGTTGGCCCTCCCAGCACCCACGTCACTAATCTATGTTTTCATTCAAGTCTCCCAGTGTCATCTTTGCAGTTTGGATGCCAGAGTTAACCACTGACTAGCAAACATTTACTAAGTCAGAGTTAATTCAGGAATTACCCCAACCTGTGAGTTGAAGCTATCCATCAGGGGATAGGACACAAGCTGGCCAATCAAAAACTCCCTCCCCCTGGACACACTGATCAGTCTAAAAGTAGGCATGAAATCCCTGCATGTGCAATCAGACTTTTTTTTTTTTTGGGTGGCGGGGAGAGATAGGGACAAACAGATCTGCCTCGGAAGAAGCCAGAATGCTCCTTAGAAGTGAGGATGGTGAGACTTCGTCCTACATACTTTGGACGTGTTCTCAGGAGGCACCAGTCCCTGGAGAAGGACATCACATGTGGTAAAGTAGAGGGCCGGCGGAAAAGGGCAAGACCCTCAATGAGATGACTGACACAGTGGCTGCGATGCCTGTGAAGACGGCACAGGTCTGGGCAGTGTTCCGTTCTGTCGCACATGGGGTTGCCATGAATCGGAACCCACCTGATGGCACCTAACAACAGCAGATACAGACGCTGGGACATAAAGAAGGGCTGCCACCATGTGGGGACCCAGCCTGAGAGTGAAGTCAGCAGGACAGAGAGAGACAGGGTTTGAATCCCAGGAGCGACCACCTGGACTCTTCACTTACCCAACTTGACAGATTCTTTGTGTGTGTTCGTTTGATCCACATAATTAGAAATCGGTCCTAGTTACCACGAAGAGTGCAGAGTCTGATGACTCGGTGGTGGTACATTTAACTCAATCCAGGAACTGAATGGCTTGCAGACCCCCATGTGTCTCCACACTAAGCATCTTCATCTTCAGGTCTCTTGATACCCTTCCCTTCCCCAACCTTCTTCCTGTCTGAAAAGCAATTGCTGACTTTCCTTTTACTTAACAAGTGTTTTGCACAATCTTAAGAACGCAATCAATGTCACTGAGTTGGACAGGCAGAAACTGTCGAGCTGGTGTAGGCGGCTGTTGTTTTTAATACGTAAGCAATTTTCTTAGGAAATTTAACAGTCTCGAGACTGGTACTGAGGGGGTCTTTGTGTACCCATTCCAGTCCACTGGCATCTGTCAGTCATGTGTTGACCTTTAACCAAACACTCCTTTGTATCCTGTCTAGCAGTGATTATCTGACCATACCCTTTCCCTAGAAAATGTCTTTATGCCTAGGGTCCACGGGAGATTACTTATTTTTGAGAATTTACATGTCTTAAAATGTCTTTGATCCATGCTTACATTTGGTTGGTTGGCTCGGTATAGGCTGCTGGGTTAAAACACATTTTCCCTCAGATTGAGAAGTGTCTCCCAAGCTCCAGCATTACTGTTGAGATCTCATGAGCTGCTGTATGTTTTCACCACCATAATAATAATAATAATAATAATAAGTAGGAAAAAAAAAAAAGAATTTTTAAAAAGTAACTTTGTGTGCAACCAAGGAAAGAGGACTTGGTTCACTCCCCACTGGCGAGGTGATGGGACCCACCACCCCGGGAGCTGTGGGCTCCCTCAAAAGGAAGACAATCAGGCAAAGGCTGTAGAATTCGGCCGGACCCCTCAGGATGGACAGGGAGCCAGCCCCACAAGGGGTTGGTAAAGTGGACGCTGCTGCCAACCTTGGCGTAACGGGGTGGAACCCACCTGGGATTAACTGTGGCCTCTGGTAATGGCGGCCCCGTCTGTCCCCATGGTGGGGATGAGCTTTCACCCACACAGAGGCTTGCGGAACTGTGACAGTGTCGGTCCCATTGCTCTGCTGTATTTTTCTGTCTCCACAACAGAGAATTGGAGCATCTCTTTCTCTGACGCTCACACCCTGGGCTGAGTGGTGAAGGTGCTCTACAGGCCCCTTTCCTCCTTCCTGTGCTGGGTCTTTAGCCACCTCCTCTGTGTCCCTGCGGCTGGCTGTTCTCCTGCCACAGCAACGCCTCCTAACACCAGCAATGGCGCCCGTGGAGCATCCAGGCTGTGGTCTGGAAAGCAAGTCCATGTGGCGCGGATTCCAGAGCTTCCTAACCCTTCATGTTAAGCCTTGCTCTTCCACCCAGTCTCACACTCCTATAGCCTCATACGCTGATCTAGAGGGGAACTGAGGGGGCCAGGGTGGTGCAATGGCTAAGCGTTCAGCTGCTAACTGGAACGTTAGTGGTTCGAACCTACCCAATGGCTTTGCAAGAGAAAGATCTGGCAATCTGCTCTCATAAATATTAACCCCACAAAACAAACCTGTTGTCATCAAGTCAACTCCGGCAGAGCAGAACTGCCCCATGGGGTTCCCAAGGCTGTAAATCTTTACAGAAGAAGCCAGCCTCGTCTTTCTCCTGCAGTGTGGCTGGTGGTTTCCAACTGCTGACCTTCCAGTTAGCAGCCAAGCACTTGACCGCAGCATCATCAGGGCTTCTTTCCATGAAGATGACAGACTAGGAAACCCTATGGGGCAGTTCTAGTCTGTCACATGGGGTTGCTGTAAGTTGGGATGGACTTGACAGCCCCCTAACAATGACAGAGGGACCCTGCCATTCTAGGTAAAAACCACTGAGCTTCTTATACACCTGCAACTGCCAAGGTTGGTGGCTTTTCTTTCTGTTGTTGATATTATGGAAACAGAAAGAAATCCAACTCACTGCCATGGAGTCGGATCTGACCCTTAGTGACCCTTCCTTGGGTTTCCAAGGCGATATCACTACGGAAGTAGCTTGCCCAACCTTCCTTTCGAGGAGTGGCTGGTGGGTTTGAACTGCCAGCCTTCTGGTTAGCAGTCAAATGCCTTAGGCACTATGCCACCAGAGCTACTAATATTATGAAAGTGGTAGTTAAATTTCTTTTTTCCCTTAAATTTTCCATTTTATTTTAATTATCTCCCTTCTCCATGCCCTGAGGACTCTAGGAACGTCCCTCAACCCTGCGACCTCAGAGCACTGTGCCTGCCTGCAGAGATGGGTGAGATGGAGAAAAGCTCATGGAAAAAGTGGGGGCCGAGTTCTTCAGGAAATGGGAGGATGACTGCTTACCACTGTCTCATTCCTGGTACCTCCGGGACAAATAGGACACAGCTAAGGCAGTTAGTGCCCAGGTGCTGGTCTGCCTGGTGAGGCCACAGAAAGAAGCCACAATGATGTGCCCAAGTTTTGGTGACAGCATTCTGTAACCAAGCTGGCCCACCTTCTAGAGGGGCCACTGCCAATGAGACCAAGGGGAGGAGGCAGGAGTCTGGGTTGCACTGGCTGTGAGTCCTAGTGGCCACCGGGCACCCTGGCCTCTGTGCAGTCCTCAGCTCTGGGGCCTCGGAGAAGCCACTGCATCTACTGAGCCTGGATTTCCACTGCTGTAGGATGGGAATCACTCCACTGAAGGTGGGTACAAGGGCAAGATACAATAGTATAAACAAACAAACAAACAAAAAACCCAGCACCTGGCATTGTAGGTGCTCAAAAAATGTGGTGCAACAGAAAAGTGCTCAGCTGCTAACTAAAAAAGGTTGGCAGTTCAAATCCACAGCCACTCAGCTGGAGGAAGATGAGGCAATCTGCTTCCATAAATACTTGGAAACCCTGTGAGGCAGTTCCACTCTGTCCTCTAGGGGCGCTGTGAGCCAGAATTGACTCCATGGCAGTAAGATTGTTTGGGCTTCTCTCCTGTAAAGATTGACAGACTCGGAAACCCTGTGGGGCGGTTCTACTCTGCCCTCTAGGGGCGCTGTGAGCAGGAATTGACCGGATGGCACACACCACCACCATACGTTTGATCCCTAGCGGGCTCTTCTTGTCATCTCACCTTTCTCCTTTCAAAACAGCACGAGCACACGGTACCATTTTGTTAGAGCCGCAGAACCGGGCTTGCTTTTACCACGGAAGACCCATTCTGGAAAGCCAGGCTGGGCCCTGGTTAGATGAGCAGCCCAGCCCTAGTCCGCGAGCCACGTCAATGGGTTCCAGCTTCTGTCTTCCCTGCAGAGGTCTCCCTTTCTTCCCTCCTCTCCACTATTCCCAGATTCCAGCTGCTTTCTGTGGGTTGTGGAGATCAGATGCCTGCCTGGCTCTACAGTGGACGCAGAGGGCAGATAAAGCCAGCTCTGATGAATCAACACGTGGCTACAGTTTGCCCAGTGCTCCCCCAATGCTCCCAGAGCATTCCTAGTGGGGTATGGGCTCTCCTGTCCCCCTGGGTCCCTTGGAACTTGGGCCTGACCCCCAGAATGTCTGACTCCTATTGGTTCAGGGGCCAGCTAGCCAAGGCTCTTCTTTCACTCTGTCTCCAGGCTCCCTTCGTCTCATCGTCTGGGAAGGCTGCCAGGGTTTCCATATCCCTCGCCTTGCCTCTGCTATGCATCTCATCCCTCATGTCTTAGGAGACAAGCGAGGCAGTTCCTTTTGCTGCTGACAGCGAATATATTTTTTTTCTAAATGGGAGTGAATGTATTCTGGAGGAGAGATAAGAGTGAAGAGCATCCCAGAGACGGGAGGGTGCAGTTCTGTGAGCATCGCAGAGACAGGAGGGTGCAGTTCTGTGAGCATCGCAGAGACGGGAGGGTGCCGTTCTGTGAACATCCCTGAGGCGGGAGGGTGCAGTTCTGTGAGCATCGCAGAGACGGGAGGGTGCCGTTCTGTGAACATCCCTGAGGCGGGAGGGTGCAGTTCTGTGAGCCTTAAAAGACAAAAGCCAAAGTCCCAGGAGAAGTTTGGTTCTGGTGCTAAACAAATTCCTTCGCTGAGCTCTGGCCTTCTCCCTGGACAGCGCCAGGAACACAGATATCTCAGGCGTGAGTTTGTGGTGCGTTATCTGGGAGCTTCTCACGGGGCACTGGGCCCCAAGGAGGGCTGTGTGTGCTCACTGGTAGCAGTTTCAAGCCTGTTGGCTGGATGCTGAATATACGTTCAGAAGGAGTTCTGGGCTCCCTAGATCAACACCCCGTAGAAAGGAGTCCACACTCTGAAGCTGATGAAAGCATGCAAGCCGCATTCGCATAAACTAAGTTTCCTCTCTCCCAGTACGATGGCTGGAGTGAGAAGAATCCTGATGTTTTCAGGAAACATGAGGTGAAGCCATAATGGGTTCCATTTTAGCCTTCCTGGCCTCGCTGTCTCCATGCAGAGGATGGGTGCGATCTTACAACCTCAAGGATGCTGTGAGATGCGCTGGCCAAGGAAACACACCTGCCCAGGCCCCCACACACCCACTAGGCACCGTGCATGGGGCAGCTGTGTTGATCTTGGGTTTGTGGCAAGCTGGTTCCTTGCCGTTATCCTCGACGATTCCCCACTGCAGGTTTTATTACAGATGACTGTGTTTACACAATGGAACACTAGCTTCTGTATGTACCTCTGTTGTGTGTGTGTGTAAGATGGTGTGTGTGTGTGTGTGTGTCAGGGTGCATGCACAAGGCAAGTGTGAGAGGCAAGAGGCGTGTTCAGCCCTTGCCCAGAACGGAAGGGCATTTTTAGTAACGTGGAACCCTGCTGTACACAGCCTCAGTGCGGCTCCTCTCTGAGTTCCCACTAATATTGGAAAGAGAGGCAGGAAAGCGTCAGTGAGCATGAGACCTTCCCACTCAGCCATGTCAGATGACACTCTTCCTTCCACATTGGATGCGTATCTTGGAGGACAAGTTAGGTGGTTGTTGGGACTTGCCATTGAGCTGGCTGTGACCCATGGCGACCCCATGTGTGCAGAGTACAACTGCTCTCCAGGGTTGTCAAGGCTATGACCTTTTGGAAGCAGATTGCTGGACCTGTTCTCCAAAGTGCCTCTGGGTGGGTTCCAACCATCAAGATTTTGGCTAGGAACCCTCTGCGCTACCCCGAGCACTGGCTGAACTTGTTTCACAAGCCAAGTATTAGCTGAGGAGTGGGAGGGTCAGTGAGGAAGCAGGGCCCCTGCAGCCTTGCAGGACCTGGGAGTGACGGTGACTGGGAGTTTCCAAGGAGCCCTACAGGTCTCTGCACTGCTCCCATGGTAGGGGCAGGAAGTGCGGGAGCAGGTTCTAAGGTTCAAATTCCAGCCTGTGACCAACAGGATACCAACACCTGGCCTCATGCTGCCTGGTCCCCCTCCACTCCGCCTCTTAAGACACTTGGAAGGGAGAGAAGACTTTAGTTCACTTCTCATTATGGTGACCCTATCAACGTGGCTTCCTTAATGGTGGCTCAGAGGTGGAAACACGTGTACAAAAAACAAGCGGGATTCACAAGTATCACAATGGTGTGTGTGTTCTCGATAACTCCATAATCATGAGATATGAAAAGCCTTGAGGAAATGGCTGGGAGAAGCAGTTTAAGTTGGCGTAGTACCTGGCTCTACACAAGCACACTGTTATTTTTAAGTGATCTACGTCTTCAGATGCCATCAAGCTAATTAGGAAATACGCATTTGCACAGAACCCAATTTTGGAGTGCAACCGAACGAGAAAGTAAACCCTCCTCGCTAAGCTAGCGTGGACCTCCTCAAGCTCCAAAGTTCTTGAAATGACCAAATGCAAAGAATGCACAGATTTCTTTTAAAGAGATTATCTCCTTTGCTCAGCAAACAGCAGATAGGATCAACTGTTTTTAACAAAAGTCTTTCACCATGTTTCAAATACTGATTTTTTAAGTTCTTTCGGAATGAGAAAATATCAGGTTGGCAAATAGAGGAGATGGGTAAAGAGATGGACAGACAGGTGATAGGTAGGAAGGGAGGTAGATAGGTAAGCAGACAGAAGATGGACAGGAAGATAGACAGACAGACAGAGAGGCATGCTGTTGTTGTTAGGTGCCGTTGAGTCAATTCCAACTCAGCTACCCTACGTACAACAGAACAAAACACTGCCCGGTCTTGTGCCATCCTCATGATCCTTGCTACACTTGAGACAGGCTGCAGCCACCGTGTCAATCCATCTCATTGAGGGTCTTCCCCTTTCTCACTGATCTTCTACTTTACCTGTACGATATACACCAAAAAGCCAAACCCACTGCTGTCGAGTTGGTTCTGACTCACAGCAACCCCTCCTCGAGTTTCTGAGGCAGTATCACTATGGAAGTAGATTACCCAGTCTTCCTTCCGAGGATTGGCTGGTGGGTTTGAACCGCTAGCCTTCTGCTTAGCAGTCAAATGTCTTAGGCGCTATGATACATAGACAGCTATCTACTTCTGTAGCAATACTGCCTCGGAAACCCAAGGAGGGGTCGCCATGAGTCAGGTCCGACTCGACAGCACATAACAACAACAACAAATATATATATATATATATATATATATATATATCCCCAAAAAACCAAACCCACTGCCATGGAGTCAACTTCGACTCACAGTGACCCTCCATTGAGTTTCTGAGGCAGTAACTCTCTACAGAAGTAGATTGCCCAGTCTTGCTTCTGCAGAGTGGCTGGTGGGTTTGAACCACCAGCCTTTCCATTCCCAGTCAAATGCCTTAGGCACTATGTCCCCAGAGCTCTTTAGGTAGCTATATAGATGTATGCTACATAGGTAGCTGTATGGATGTATAGGAGCTCTGGGGGTGTAGTGCCTAAGGCATTTGACTGCTAACCAGAAGGCTGGCAGTTCAAACCCACCAGCCACTCCTCGGAAGGAAGCCCAGGCAATCTACTTCCGTAGAGATACTGCCTCAGAAACCCAAGGAGGGGTTGCTATGAGTCAGATCTGAGTTGAGGGCAATACATGTTTTTCTCCCCACAAAAGGCAAAATTCAACTGGGGCTGGGCATGACTGCCCCCTATAGATATGATGAGCATGATGCAGTTTGTCATAGGCCCCAGCATTCCCTATCGCTTCCCTCCCTTGGGCACCCACATTCAGTTGCCATTGCTCATCTCACTTGTGCTGTTTTTCTCATGCCCAGTCTGCTTTGCCTATTCTCATTCCCCTTCTAGCTTCCACGGTCATCTGGGTTTGCCACCCCTGACTCTGAGCTGACAAAGTCAGAGTGCCCTTCTGAGAAGGCCAAGAAGGGCTGGGGAGTAAGGAGAGCATGGGAAGACCCCACTGAGAAGTCTCAGAATCCCAGCTTCTCCGGAAGCCTCGTGCTGCTCCGGACCTGCCTGCCATCCGAGGAAGCAAACGTCACGGGTACTGACCCTGCTGATGGAGAAGAGCAGCCCAGGGCGGTCGGAGCACACGCCCGTGAAGCAGAAGCGCAGTTTCCAGTAGAAGAGGTGCTCCCAGATGAAGGTGATGAGGCTGAGGGCCATGGCGGCCGCCAGCATATAGAAGACGCCCGCCATGTTGTCGATGTCCAGCTGACTGCTCATCACCTCATTCTTCTCGTTGTGGCAGATCCCCGTGAGCCACAGCGTCTCCAACTCCTCCATCTCACCTGAACGGAACACAACAGGCACAGGCTGTGAGGACCAGGGCATGCACACTGGGGAAGACGCCTGCAGGTCTGGATAGAAGTGGGTGCACCCTGACCTTCCGTTTACAGCTGTGTGATTCAAGTTCTTCTAGCCTCCCGTCTGGTCACTTACGCGAGGCTAATACTGATAATATTGCCCACCTGATACAGCCACAGCATCCCTGGCTGATGCAAATGGTTAATGAGCTCAGTTGTGATCTGAAAGTTTGGGTGTTCAAGTCCACCCAGAGATGCCCTGGAAGAAAGGCCTGGTGATTCACTTCCATTGAAAACCCCACAGAGCACAGTTCTACTCTGAGACATGTGGGCTACTGTGTGTTAATTCTGACGTGGCCACTGGTTAATATAGTTGCAGTGAGGATGAAATGAGATAATGTACATAGGGATCTTAACAGAATCCCTGGCTTTACTGCCACTGGTATTGTCACTATACTCCCCCCACCCTCCTTTCCTCTACTCCTGCCTCTGACACCCACCCAAGTCAAGAATGGGACCCAGGGATAAACTGGCACCTACGGTGGAAAGACTTGCACTTTCATCCTAGCTTTATTACTTCCTGGCCATGTGGCCTGGGAGCCACAGTCAGCCTTCTGTGAAATGGGTACACTAGTAACACAGCCCTCGTGGAGTCAGGATGAGGATCAACTAGGATCACAAACGTGTAATCCCTGCCTCAGAGGATGTCCTCAACAAACGGGAGCCATTGTAGGACTGTTGTGAAGGAAATGCCTAGCACTGTGCTTGGCACATGGTTTTTGTTGTTGTTAGGTACCACTGAGTCCGTTCCAACTCACAGCAACCCCACAAGACAGAGCCGAACTGCTCCACAGGGGAGCCTAGGCTGTGATCTTTACGGAAGCAGACTGCCAAGTCTCTCTCCCTCGGAGCCACTGAGTGGGTTCAGACTGCCAGCCTTTCAGTTAGCAGCTGAGTGCTTAAGCACTGTGCCACCAGGGCACCTTTGGCACATGGCAGCTCTCAGATTCGTACCACCTTCCCCCCCCCTTTATAGCATCCAAGATTACTTCAAAAAGTCACCCAAGTAGTGCACTTAGGATGCAAGACTGAATTGAAAAGAGATATCATCACTGGGTCTAAGTGGCTCCTTGCCAAACTCAACACCCCCCACTTAAGTAGGCAATTAAAGAAGCAAGTGAATTTTTCAATGGGGGGAAACAAAAACATGCTTAGCATTATTTCTTTTTATCAAGGTGCCATTTAGGGGGAAATTCTCTGATCTAAACGTCTACCAATTACACTTCTTAGCAATTCTCTGAACTATGGCATTTCGACTATGATTCAGGCATTAAGATATATCCCTCAAGGACAGTGAAGATCAAGGACATAAAAACTACCCAAACCCATCAATGTCAATTCCGACTCACAGCGCCCCTAGAGGACAGAGTAAAACTGCCCCATAAGGGTTACCAAGGCCATCAATCTTTATAGAAGCAAAGCCCCAACTAAACCAAGGAAGATGCATATAATGCTAAATAAAATGTATGGCTACAATTTGTCTGTGTCTGTGTGTGTGTGTGTGTGTGTGTATCTCACACATACATAATCTTAAGGGTGGTCTGTGCGACAGTGGGTAAGGCATTTCACTGTTAACCAGAAGGCTGTCAACTCAAGCCCACCATCTGCTCTGTGGGAGGATGATGAGGCAATCTACTTTGTAAAGATTTATAGCCTTGGAAACCCTTTGGGAGTCACTGTAAGTCAGAATTGATTCAACGGTTGTGGGTTTGGTTTTTTGGTATATAATCTTAAGATGTAATAAGAGACATGCAGAGAAAAAAAAAAAAAGGAAACATTTCAGATGTTTACAGTGATTCTCTTTTAAAGAGGCTAATTATAATTATTGCTTTCACAGTTGTTTCTTTTTATATGTTTAGTCAAAACCATTGCCATGAAATAAATTCCGACTCACAGGGACCCACTAGGACAGAGTACATCCAAGGCTGTAGATCTTTACAGAATTAGACTGCCACATCTTTCTCCCAAGGAGTAGCTGTTGGATTCGAACCACCAAACTTTCAGTCAGTAGCACAACACTTAAGTGCAGCACCACTGGGGGTCCTTACATTGGTTAAAATCAGCATATATTATTATTTTTTTAATTTATTGTGATTTGGGTGCAAATTCACAAAGCAGATTCGCTTTACCCTCAACAGTTTAAGCACATTTGGTTTCAAGGCCCCGATTACAATGCCAACAGTAAAAAGCTCTCTCCCAGCTCCATCTCCAGGGCCGATGGTGGCCGGATCCAGGTGAGGGGAGAGACGGCACACCCACCCAAGGCAGGAAGCGGGAAAGCCAGGGCCGACGGCAGCCGGCTCCAGGTAAGGGGCGGGCAGAGAGGTTTGGAACAGCTGAGGGAGACTAACTTGTCTGTCAGTTTGTCGTACTGTGGTGGCTTGCATGTTGCTGTGAGGCTGGAGGCCGTGCCACCAGTGTTTCAAATGCCTGCAGGTTCGCACATGGTGGATAGGTTCCAATGCAGCTTCCAGACTGAGCCACACTAGGAAGAAGGAAAAGGCCATCCACCTTTCAAAGTATTGGCTAGGGAAAACCTTATGAATAGCAGAGAAACACTGTCTGATACATTACTGGGCAAATTTATGAATAGCCCTGAAACACTGTCCAATACAGTGCCAGAAGATGAACTCCTCAGGTCTGAAGGCCCTCAAAACACAACTAGGAAAGAGCTGCCTCATCACAGTAGAATGAATCTTAATGATATGGATAAAGTAAAGCTTTCTGGACCTCTATTTGCTGACGTGAAATGACTTAAACTGAGGAGAAATAGCTGCAAACATCCATTAATAATCAGAACATAGAATGTATGAAGTATGAATATAGGAAAGTTGGAGTTGTTAAAAATGAAATAGAATGCATAAAGATTGATATCCTAGGCATTAGTGAGCTGAAATGGACTGGTTTTGGGCATTTTCAATCATACAACCATAGGATCTACTATACTGGAAATGACAAATTGAAGAGGAATGGCATGGCATTCATCATCACAAGGAATGTTTCAAGATCTGTCCTACAGTACAATGCTGTCAGTGATAGGATAATATCCATATGCCTACAAGGAAGGCCAGGTAATACTACTATTATTTATTATTCAAATTTATGCACCAATCACCAAAGCCAAAGATGAAGAAATTGAACATTTTTACCAACTTCTGAAGTCTGAAATGGACTGAACATGCAATTAAGATGTGTCGGTTACCACTAGTGACTGGAATGCAAAAGCTGAAGACAAGGAAGAATCACTACTAGTTGGAAAATTTGGCCTTAGTGATAGAAATAACACTGGAGATCACATGACACAATTTTGCAAGGCTAACAACTTATTCATTGCAAACATCTTTTTTCAACAACACAAATGGTGGCTATACATGTGGACTTCACCAGATGGAGTATTCAGGAATCAGATTGACTGCATCTGTGGCAAAAGGAGATGGCAAAGCTCAATATCTTCAGCCAAAACCAGGCCAGGAGCTGAATGTGGAACAGACCATCAACTGCTCATATGTAAGTTCAACTTGAAGTTAAAGACAGTTAAAACAAGTCCACAAGAGCCAAAATATGACCTTGAATATATCCTTCCTGAATTTAGAGACCATCTAAAGAATAGATTTGATGCA